AAACGGAAATGTTCTTTGTTAAAAAGTTTATCATAAAAGTATAAATTTAGTAAGTTTCACATTAATACATGAGTTAAAATGATGGATCAAAGTTTACCATCTTTGAGTAAAGAGTCAAAGATGGCTAAATAAAATGAGATAGAGGTAGCATATCTAAAATTTAAACGTTTTTAGCATATCTAAAACTAATAAGTAAAAATAGTCGATGTACATAAAACTAATAAGTATTCCCAATTTTAAAATTGAATTGAGATTTTGAATCCATTCTTACATGCCTAAACAGTAAATACATCGTTCTCTATTCTTTAATTGCATTATAAATAAATCATTTTCTAATCTTTAATTCTATCTTTAATCATTATAAATTTATAAAAATAAATAAATACTATTTTACTATCTACTGAAAAAATTCAATTAATACTCAAATAGAATTACAAAGTTGGTAGGCTTGGGCTGGGCTAGACATTAGTTTTGAGGTGGGCTAGAAATTAAACCTATACCTATAATAATAAAAATAAATTGGGCTGGGCTGGGCTGGAGCCCACCCCTGCCCCAACATAGATCCGCCCATGACTCCGTATTATAAATGCTAATCAACTATAAACTTATTTTTTGTGAGACTGAATCTTTTTCTAGTGATTGAAAAGATGTTAGAAGTTTTAATTCATAATATATATTTTGTCATTTCTTTTTCTATCGTTTATTTCCTTTTACATTTTATTTAAATAATAAATAAACAAATATGAGATGGTGTAACGACCGTCCCCAAAACGGCCATTACGATACTCAAACATAAAAGAGACTCAATAAATGAAGCGGAAATAAAGATACAAAGCCTCGATATGAGACTTTATTTCTTTTAAAACAAAATCAAACCTTACAACCATAACGAAAGACATCAAAATAAAAACATCTTTAAACCGCCGTTACACCTGATCAGGATTTTAAAACGTTTAACAACCCTTTGAAGTACCAACGTACTAAAACAACAACATAACTGATAGCCAGATCTTCTCCGTTAACCCATCCAAAACCTTGTCACCGGCTCCATACATTCTCTCAGGCTTCCGTACCTCGTTTATTACCTATACATGAGGACATAAGAGAATAAAATTCTCGTAAGCAATAATGCTTAGCAAGTTACCATTTCATCCACTAAAAACATTTAGGGAATCTTAGCTAATTATAAATAGATGCCCATGCTGAATACATCACACATACAAAGTGTTTTTAGGGGGTGTTTGAATCTGATTCTTAAAACTGCTTTTGCTCCCTCAGGGAGCAGAAGCTGAAATTGAAGTGTTTGGGTGAAAGTGCAGAAGTGATTCTGGGGGTGACCAACTTCTAAAAACTGATTCTGATTATATATTCCGCTTCTTTAAAAAAACAAGCAGAAGCAGAATCAGTTCTAAACATTCCTTAATAACTTTTCCTTGATCCTTTGTATTTATTTTAATGTGTAGGTATGGCAAGGGTGTCCTTACATAAATAGAGCAAAACAGTCATTGAGTGGATCTGTGGATGGATATATCAAGCTATTCTTAAATAGTTCAAGTGCGAAACATTGTTATTCCTATGACATTATATTTTTTATACCATTTGTTTTTATTGTATTTTATGGTAGTTATATAAGGAACATATAATATTTAAGATGCCGGATGAATTTACTCACTTTCATATTTTCTCTCTATTTTTTATAAAGGGAAAACGCGAGTTTATTCATAAAAAGAATTACTCACTTTCATATTTAGTTAGCGGTTTGTTTAGGTGGAAGTAGAATGTATGACACTACTATGACCATATGATTCTTGACTGTGATTATATTATACATGACTATTATACACAATATTTGATACTAAGATTTCTAATAGATCAAATTGGACACTAGTTATACGTGAATCTCATATTGAATACTAAGATTTCAATGAACCAAATAAGCGTAACTCTAACGTTTTTTTGGTTATTTTTGGACATCCATAAATGGTTTTCCACTTTTGCATATTTCGTCGATGAAAGCTATTAGTGTTCCTTTTCTTTTGTTTTTTGTGCCTAAAAAATAAAAATAGCTTAATTGGTGTATTTTGATTTATAATACTCCCTTCGTATTTAAAAGTTTGTTACACTTTCCTATTTGAAATGCATTTAAAGTTTGCTACACTTTTCATTTTTTGTAAATTTTTTCTTTAAAAATATTCACTTACCCTTACTTTTTCTACTTTTTATATTTTCTTTCCTACTTTTTCACTTTCTCTCATATTTCTACCCTATTATTTCCTTCTTAAATTTATGTCAAGATCTAATGTAGTGATCTTTTAAACACGGGGGAGTATATAATTAAATGTTCCAATTAAGAAAATCTTTTATAATGTAACATAATTCTTTAATTATATTACATCAATTTAGCAAATTATATGAATAAAAAGTCATAATTATATTTGTAACTAAACATACTCCTTCCGTATTTTAAAGATCATTACATTAGATCTTCACACAAATTTATTGGAGAAATAGTACGAGTAATGAATAGTTTAGAAAAAGTAGGAGAGGAAATATAAAAAGTAGAATAAATAAGGGTGATTGGGAATTTTTTTAAAGAAGAAACTTACCAAAAAAAAAAAGTAAATGTAGCAAACTTTTAAATACATCCCAAATACGAAAGCGTAGCAAACTTTTAAATATGGAGGGAGTATAAGAAGCTATTAATTAAAATCAAAAGACATATTCTAAAATCTCAAATTGAATATTCTAATCTAAAACTATATACATCAATTAGGTTAGTTAACTGATACCAAAAAAGGAAAGGAAAAATAAGTCTAACATTATTTATCAAAGAAATAAAAGAATCATAAGTGAGTTTCTAAAAACAACGGATTATATGTGAATCCAATATGAGATTCACATATAATCAATCATTCAATTTGGTCAACGTGAAATCTTAGTGATCAATATGAAATTCATATGTAATTTTAATGTTTTATTTGATCTTTCTCTTTATGACTTTTTTATGACTCTTTTACAATAAAAATAAAATAGATTTAGACATGAGTGTCTATTGATTTTCACTTGAAATTATTCATGTAAAATTACTTCACATAGGGTAATTACTTGATTTTTCTTCGGGGAGGGTTCACAACAAGAATCAAAACTTATTTCTAAAAGAGTTTGATGTCAGCTTCCATATGACAATATCAATGTTACACTACAAAAAAACAGCCTTGTAGTCACGGATTTTAGTCACGGATTTGGTCCGTGACTAGTTAGTCACGGACTAGTCACGGACTAGTCACGGACTAGTCACGGATTTAAAGAAAAAAATAGTCACGGATTTGACCGTGACTATGACTGTGACTAAACTTTGTCACGGACCAAATCCGTGACTAAAATCCTCCGGTAGACCAATTCTGTTTCCGGCGTGTGTGATTTTATTTCGGTATCTTAGTCACGGACATATCCGTGACTAAGTCCATGACTAGAGAAAAAAATTAATTTTCGACGCTCAGAAATTATTTCGCAACGGTATTTTGTACGGATAAAATTAGTCACGGACATGTCCGTGACTAATTCCGTGACTAAAATGAATAATATTATTTCCACGCGTAATTTACACGGTTTGGACGCGTAATGTACACAGATTTGCTTAGTGACGGACAAATCCGTGACTACGTTCGTGACTAGATTTTTTATATATGCAGGAGCAACTCATTCAACAGAACCACACCAATTCATTCACAGTATATAATACAGTATCTGTTTGAAAGATCGAAGGATGTAGTCTAGCTTATGTCATTTTCCCTCTTTATGCAGATAAGGTATGTTATTTGAATTATTATTTTTATTTAGAATTAGTTGGTTCAATTTAAATTATTAAAACTATTAAATTAGTGAGGTTGTTAATTAATTAACAGTATATTTAACTATAAACGTAGTGATGTCAAAACATTAGTTAAATTTTTAGGTTTATAAAATAATTTAATTAAAATTAGTTAGCTAAACGTAGGTTTAAACATAGTGATGTGTTAAGTCAAATTAGTTAGCTAAACGTAACGTAGGTTTAAACGTAGTGATGCATTAAGTTAAATTAAGTAAAATTAGTTAGCTAAATGTATGTTTTAGCTAATTAAGTTAAATTAGTTAAACTTTTGATAATATTAGTTAAATTTAAATATCTGTTAATTGAAATGAGTTTAAAAAAGGTTGTTAATTAATTAACGAAATGAAGTAGTTAAATTTAGTTAAACGTAGGTTTAATTTAAATGTAGTGTTAAATTACTTAAATGTTTTATAATATTAGTTAAATTTAAGTATTAGTTAATTCAAATGGATTTACATATATATGCTCGAATTATTACATTTTATTATTAGCAATTATTGTTAATGCCTAATTTAGGATTTTTAATGGGTTAAGTTTGGATTAAAACATTACTTATATTTTGTGCATTATTATTGTGAATTGTGTGCATTTCATTTAATTTAGTGAAAATTAGCTAGTTGATTATTTAGTGAAATAAATTAGTTAAACGTAGTTGTAATTTAAGCATAGTGTTAATTAATTTGTATTTAGTTAAAATTACGTAAATTAGTTAAATTTTTTATAATATTAGTTAAATGTAAGTATTATTTATTAATTCGAATGGGTTTATATATATGCTCAAATTATTGGAGTTAGTCACATATTTTTTACACTGCGGTCCATGACTAAATCCGTGACTACAGCCCTATTTTTTTGTAGTGTTAATAACATATAGATAGAGGAAAAAATAGACAATATAAATTTTATTAGCGGAAGATTTATGTCATTTACATTAAAACAGAGAAATTTAATATAGAACAATAGCCAAGTATTGGTGGCAGGAGACTGTCGAATGAAGAAAATATTAAAGATAGTCTTTTTTACATTGTACATCCGTAAACATCAAAGATGTATGATCGTCCAATCTTGAAATTGTTTACTAAATAAGAGTCGTCATATATACATTATCAAAGCAGTTTCTATAAATGAAAATGTTAAATGCATATATATTCTAATATTTGATAATGCCATTATTAGAAAATTTATCTGGTGCAACGCACGGGTGAAAAATCTAGTTTAAGTCATAAGAATGCAAATACGGCCGGAGTAGTACTTTTGACAAAATCATGCCTTATTACGTTGTGCATAAAACAGATATGAAAGGTACCCCTGATCATAAATTGAAACTAGACTTCGACTTCACAACCTTACACTTCAGTGGTCCATCTAGCATGTTCGCAATCCGGTCAACGCCTTCCGTTGACCCAAATCCAACCCGCACATTGTCGCAGGTTGTCTTTATGTAAAACGTCTCCTCATCCATGGTCATGGGGTCCTCCTTAACCCTACTTTTCACTTCAACCGTGAACGTGTAAACTACTGCCGATTCCAGATCCGGCGGCACAACAGAATCGTTGGCCGCCGCCACCACCGACTTTTGCTCATAATATTTCTGCCAGAAGCTTCCGGGGTGGGCCCGCATGAACGTCTCGTTCCGGCCGGCCCAGACCACCAATACCTCGATCTCATCGTACTGATCTACCTTATTATAATCACCTCCGCTAAATTGGTCGTTGTCGAAAGCTAAAGAAAGGTTGCAGTTGGCCGTGAGCGGCGCCTCTACAGAAGAACGGTTGCCGTTGGCGGCGGCGGCGGTAAGATTCGGGGAGAGGCTGAAGTTAACGATGCGTACTTTTGGAGTCGGCGAATAAAAATCCCGCCAGATAGATAAACCAAGTGTGGTCAAAAGTAGTATTATGAAGGGTTTTTTCTTCGGTGTGGGTTGTATATAAGGCACACCGGTGTGGGTTGTGAGGTGGACCACTCTTCTCTGGACACTTGTACTCATTAAACCACATCACCTTTTCCCTTGATTGGGAGTATTTGCGTCATGGCCCAGGCCCCTCTAGGCAAATACACGTATTTGTACTCCAGGTACTGACACTTGTTCCGATATGAATACACATAAGGGGTTTTCCCTTTTTTACCCTCGCACCACTCGTATTCCGCACAACCGTACGCCAACCTCCGTTCATCGCCTTGAATATCCTCGGGCCGGTTCGTCTTTCTTTTTCCGGTAATCACTGTCATGGATTTTCAAAGATTGTTGATTTTAATGGTTTTCCATTCAATCTACTAGATTTTGAGGGACTTTTATCCAGTTTCTGGCTAAAATTTATTGGGGAGAAGGGAGACCCGCTGCGCTAGATGGGAGAGAGTAGAAGCCTGGGTTGAGTAGGTTATTCGATGGAGATGATTCTGAAATCCGAGCGGGTGGGTGAGATTTTCTATGTAGTGTTTTTTTATCATTCCATTCAGTTCCGCGAAAATCATTCCAGTAAATAAAGATTGAAGTCTGTAGGTGGGTTGTTTGAAGGCACACGTATTCCAATACATTTGCCTGTGCATTGGAACAACATTGTGCTTCAGTGGATAGTGTGCCTGTTACTATTTTGGTGTTCAATTTCAATATAAATTTGAAATCTGAAGTTTTCTTTTCCTGATTTCTTCTCCAGGAAGTTGTAAAAGATCTCGAAGTTGAAGCAGGAGAGATTTAGAAGAAGGAGAGTTATTATTCATTCTGAATGAGAAGGGTACAACAAGTGTATATACACATTTAGGCTAACAGTATTACAGTTGAGTCTATAACAACTTGTCTAACAAGACTCTAACTAACTAAGCACATCTGCAATTTGAAAAGGTGCAGGAATGTGATAGACTTCCAGTTGTTTCAAATGAACTCTTTGTCGAACAATGTATAGATCAAGCTCCATATGCTTGACACGAGAGTGTCGAACTGGATTGTGAGCTAGACTAACTGTGCTTAGGTTATCACAGTGAACTCTGGGAACACAGTATGAAGCTTGAATATCTTAAAGTAAGGACTTAATCCAAAGGATCTCTCTGTGGTATCTGCAAGACTTCAGTTGATGATCTGGCAACACAGGCTCTTGACCACCATGAAATAAGATTAGGACCAAGAAGAGAGAACAAGTATATCATCAACATAGATGAGAACATAGATTCTAACACTGTTGTGAATGAAAATAAGAAGAGAGGGATCTCATCTGGATTGCTTGAAACCAATACTGTACGGGGCAGAGGTCAGTTTAAGAAACCAGGCTCTGGGAGCCTGTTTACATTTGAAAATGCATACAGTTACATCAGAATTTCCCTAAAGTTACATATTGTATACGGCACGTTACATGTCAACTTTTCTTAACAAGTTACATCATGTTTACAATTGATTTACAATTTCTAAAACGCGTGTTACATTACAATATAATGCGAGTTACACAACCTAATAAGTAATAACCCTCTTCTATTCCAATATCATTTTTATAGCCCAAATATTAAAAATAAAGCATATTCATAGTTTACATAGAGGGATTGTTCAATTTGGAATTAAACTATGGATTTCACAAGTTACATTTCGAATTCACTTGAGTTACATTGATCAAATATGGGACGAGACTCCAAGGAAGGCAAAGAGACTATCTTGGAAATTGCAATGAAATAATTACATTGGACAAATGAAGAGACACGCTAGAAGTTTGTATTAAATTAATTAAGTATTAGTATTGCGGATATATTCTTCTATTTATGCTAAGGAGATACTCTTATTTTTACTATAGAATTCTTTTATTCTTAGCAGTAGTATCCTATTGTCATTCTCCTTCCTACAACTTAGTTGCTATCTTTTGTACTCGGCAATCTCTCTCACGTCACCAAGGTCGAGTTCATACTCAAGGCGAGGACGAGGTAGAGGAGGCTATAGGCCATATGAGAAGGTCTACAATAACAGGCCGACCGGGAGAGACCAAAGGTCGTGGCAGAGGAAGGGCGGTCGAGTTTACGCCTTACGGTGAGTGTTCTAACTGTGGAAAGTATGGACATTTTGCCGGAGACTGTTGGTCAAAATTTCCTCTGGTCAAATTTCCTCTTATTTGACCAACAGTCTCTCGCTAAATTGCCATATTTCCACAGTTATATATGACCAACGGTCAACAGTCTCTTATATAACATCCGCCTTCAACTCGGCCACCGCTTCCTCTGCCACGACCTTGGTCTCTCCCGGTCGCCCTGTTCTCGTAGACTTTCTGATCTGGTCTATATCGTGCTCTACCTCGTCCTCGGCCATGAATATGAACTCGTCCTACCGCATGCACTCAATAAATTTTGTACTGTTGTATTTCATAAATGCATGTTTCCATAATTTTAAGCACTGCCATCCTACTAAAGCTCAAAGAAATGTCTTCGTCATCAACAGGAAGTATTTGCAGGACGAAACATTAAGATGTTTCGTTCCAGCATCCTCTCTCCATCAACAAGCTCCTACAGGATGGTTCGACTACCCTGGATTTTTTTCAAAAAATTTTAGGGATGAAAGGAAAGGTAGGACTGCTTCGTGGACTGAAGGTTTGGATTTTGGAGGACTCTTGTTGAGGTGAAAAGGACATTATACAGGTTGAAGTGGTTAGTGGTGAATTCGCGGGTGAGGAATGCAATGGTAAGAATGTCATCATGTCATCCCAAGCAGCAGATGGGCCATCAAATTACTACCTTTATGACTTGTAGACGTCTGGGTGTGACAAACCTCCCTCCATTCAAGTGCACGGGCGGAATTTTAGGAATTCCATCAGGTCGTTGTGTGGTTGAACTATTGAACTAAGTAGAAAACATTGTAGATGTATAAAATATTAATTACGCAACCGGGTTAGTCCACTATATGTTATTATGATTTAAGAATGTTATTTTTCTTGTTCTTGTTCTTTTTCTTGTTAAATATAGTTATTGTCGTTGTTGTTGACTTGTTGTTATTAGGAAGTGGGGGGGGGGGGGGGGGTTGATAGCCTTTAACAAAGTAAAATTTTCGTCACTTCACAATTCCCAGCGAAAGTTTGGGATGCCTTGAAACTGTCAGCGGAAATCTTGGCCTCATATAGTGTGACACTTATAGCAACAAAGGTTGTGACCCTTTTAGTATGGTAATGAGATGGATTAGACAATAATCGAAGTATTCATGAAGTGTTTAAGGACTTCAGATAGTTAGTGGCAGGGTACTAAATGGTTAGAAGCAAGCTGCTAGTGACTTAGCAATAGACACTCTAAGGTGAAGGCTGTTTGAGAGTTGGGTTGTGGATCGGTGTTTAGGACAACTCTTGATCAAGTCTTCTTTGATTTGCCTCTTCTAACTTCTTCTTGGCCTCCTCCTTGGCTCTTGCTTCTTCTTCCTTTCTTTTCTGATATCTTTCTCCTCTTGAAGTAGTGTGTTCTTTCTTCTTGTCTCTGCTCCTTTCCTTGCTGCGAGCTGTCTTGAAGAGGAGGGTACTAAATGGTTAGAAGCAAGCTGCTAGTGACTTGGCAATAGACACTAAGGTGAAGGCTGTTCGAGAGTTGGGTTGTGGATCGGTGTTTAGGACAACTCTTGATCAAGTCTTCTTTGATGTGCCTCTTCTAACTTCTTCTTGGCCTCCTCCTTGGCTCTTGCTTCTTCCTTTCTTTTCTGATATCTTTCTCCTCTTGAAGTAGTGTGTTCTTTCTTCTTGTCTCTGCTCCTTTCGTTGCTGCGAGCTGTCTTGAAGAGGAGGGTCCTGCTCGAGTGTTTTCCCTCTTTTGGCATCATCAGGTTGATCTTGAAAGAGTGTTTCAATATCTCGGCAGTAGCTTGAGCAGTCATCTCGGCAGCAGTCTACTTCCCATCCTACTGCTAACCCTACTGCTATGATGGAGTATATGGCCCAGGAACCCCCGGCCCATAGACTCCTACTTCTCCTACACAAGTCCATTAAGCCCAGAGAACATCTCGGGCCCAAATACAACGGCTCAAGCCTCAGAGTAGCCCAGGATACACACTGGGGTGCCTTCGGCCTCCTTGGCCGAAGGCTCCAAAACTCACAGGATAGCCTTCTCTGGCATAGGAAGCTGCTGGGAGGAAACGGGCGAAGACATGAGCCTTCGGCATTCTCATGCCTTCGGCATCAGGGGAAGCCTTCGGCTGAACCAAACCTTCACAAGGAGCCCTCGGCTACACAAGGTGCCTCCGGCTGAACAAGCTCAATCATCGAAGATTTCTTTTAGAGACAGCCAACCACCGCATTTAATGCCACGTCGCATCCACCAACCGCATTCAATGCGGTTGACGTACCACTGCCGGTGCCACTAGGCTGATGTGACCCTTCGGCCGTAGGATTACTGACACGTGTCCCCTCATCGCATTTATTGCTGCTATAAATAGCAGCCCATTTCTCCTTGTAATCAACACAATCTGCATCTTACTCCACGCTGAGTTCATTTAATAAATCGACTCTCTCTCCTCCTATTTGCTCTGACTTCTCTCTAAGTTATTCCCGCAATAACCCCTCGGATAAGATACCCCCCGGGTAGACTATCCATCATTTGGTGCTCTCGTTGAGAGGTCTGAACTATCAAGTAAGAAACCCTCCCCCTCTACCAAACACAAAACACTCACCGAAAATGGGAAGAACCACCCGTGCCCAATCCAAGACCCTTGAGGAAAACTACGCAGCCCCCGGCGAAACTAACGGGGCTGAGGCCTCCAACAGGCTCTTAGTACCCGAGGGTGGTGTCATCCTCGAATTAGAGCAAGCCACCGCTGACCTACGTCAACAGCTGCAGAAGAACACCCCTGATGCCCGCATTGGCCTTGATAATCGAAGGAGGGATCGGAGTGAGAACCAAGTTCCCCCTCCGGCCCCGGCCATCGATCTTCAGGCTGCCT